AAACAAATATATCCTTATTTCTTTCAAAGCATTAACATTCCACACAGCTTATAAAACCACCAGCAACGAAAAATATTTGTTTTTCACTCACATTTGATGCATATTTGTCCAAAAATATGACGAAATAAGCGATTCAAACTTGTGTTTTTATCCAAACTTTTTACTTCTCCTGGCCACAAAAATCACTCTTCCTTGTCTTGAAGCACTTGAAACACTTAATAACATATATATTTTCATCTTATCAGCAGGTTTAGTCAGCTAACTGGTCAAAAAATGATGGAAAAAAAACATTTTCCTGTGAGCGTTAGCTTCCTTCGTTAGCGTAGCACGACTGTATAAATATGGCGACCTACTCCGTGTTTACCTCCACCGACACTAAACAAAGTTCCCACCCCCTCAATATATACACCAAATGAAAAGTACGGTGATTGGCTACACAGCTATGGCATCAGAACGAAGCTCGGAGCTGATTGGTCGATTCTACAGTCTATCAAGTCCAGGATGATGGGAAACAGGAAGTTGGTCACTTCTCATATATTATTGGCTCTGGACAGCCGATACTTGAACCCAGTTGGTCAAATGTGGTGTCAATCAAAAGAGGAGGGCCTAGTCGTCCATTTTGATAAGTTAAGTTTGATAAGTAACAAGTTTTTAGTTAAATGAGTTACAACACCAAATTTCCCTCTGGGATCAATAAAGTATTTTTGAATTGAATTGGAATTGATGCATTGAACACGGGGACAGGATGAACGGAAACACAAAGACATTTCAAAATAAAACGAAACAAAAACGGCACGCGGGCGTTGCGCTGAATGTTAACAGGTCAGCTGCTTTAGTCAGGTTGGTTTTCCTGTGGAGCTTCAGTCCGGTGTGTTGAGTTTTTGTGTTGTGATTTGTGCGTCTGCAGCTGCTCGGTCCGGGGATCCTGCCCCACCACTGCAACCTCATGCACAGCGAGGGAATGGTGACGGTGACGCCGCACGGCCCCGACGCCGACACGTTTGTTGACGGACAGCGCGTCACCGAGACCACCGTGCTGCGCTCAGGCTCCACCCTCCAGTTCGGCTCCGCCCACGTCTTCAAATTCGTGGACCCGACGTACGACCAGGGAGGGAGGAGAGAACCTGCCGCCGCCGCCATGAGGAGCCGACACAAGTCTGGGTGAGCAGTTCTCTGCCACGCACCAAGACAAAAACAGGGTGGCGGGAGTGACGGGCGGAGAGGGTGAGGTTAGGAAGGCGGGGAATCAAAATAAGCCGAGGAGGAGGAGGAGGTTTGGTTAGGACGGATGGAGAGAGCGAGGAAATGAGAGGAAGAGCAGAGGTCTGGGGTTACAGCAGCAGGCTGCCCTCTAATCTGATCAGCATGCTGCTGGGTGTGGCCTCCCCCTCGCTGAAGGTCCACACTGAGGCAGAGGAGACGCAGCGAGGAGCCTGGGACCACATTAAATATGAGAAATATTAGTTTTCTGCTCCGTGATGACCCCATGAATGACTGACAGGAGGAGCGACAGTGTGTAAGTAACTAACACGTGTTTGTGTTTCTGCATGAGTTGATTCAAGATGAAAAGTAACAAATTATAGTTTAACTTATTTGTTTGTTTTAGCTTAATGAAGACCATGAACGTAATTAAAGCTGTTAAGTTGGAGTGTAAACTATATTTAAAGAAAAAGACTTTACGCTGCAAAAACTGTCCACCTGACCAAGTTTTAAAACCTTATTTCAGCCAAAAAGTCTTTTTGATCTTGTTTTCAGACTGATTTACTAAACAAGAACTGATTGTGTAAGAATAATCATCTTGTTTTCAGAATGTGTAAGATTATTTGTCTTGAAAATTTGACTCAAATTAAGTGGAGTAAGAAAATTTTACTTGGTAAGATTCTTGAAATAAGAAAAAATTGAGTCAAATCAAGTGTTTCAAGAATCTTACCAAGTAAAATTTTCTTACTCCACTTAATTTGAGTCAAATTTT